TGCCAGAGAAGAACAGGTCAGGACCAATATGTATTATCCAAATCTTGCCTCCATAACCTACACAAATCCAGCAAGAAGTGTGCTTTACTAACCAACTAGGTGATCTTAATCCAGTAAAAGAGACAAATCAAGATTAACAGTTATATATGGACTAATACCCTGAAAAGGCTAAAGAAAAAGCCCTACTGCTAGAATTCTATGTGTAGTTAACGTACTCCTGAAAATGAAAGTGAAATAAAGACGTTTCAGACAAACAGCAGCTGAAAGGAGCTCTTAGTAGCAGTTACATTTTAGGAAATGACAAAGGAAGCTCTTGGATGAAGTAAAATATACCAGATTAGCCAAAATATACACAAAGTAATGAAGAACACTGGAATTAGTAATATGTTGATAAACGCATTTCATTTTTAAAACATTTATGTAAAAGATAGTTGACTAAGAAGGAATAGTATATTTGAAGTCTATGACATATACATTGTATAAATTATATAACAATAATAGGTGAACAAAGTCAAAAAGTATCTGTTTCTCTCATTTCACATGAAGTGGTATATTGTTTTAGGTAAATGTGACAAGATATAAAATGATCTACTAAACTCTAGAACAATCTAGAGTACATATAGAGTACACATCTACATATAGAGAACACACCTACATATATAATTAATAGAAGACATAAAAAGAGAAGACAAAACACTAAAAAAGTCCTCAACTAATTTAAGAAAAGAAAGAAATAAGAATATTTAGGTCAGCTAGAAAACAAATGGCTAGCTGGTATGCTTAAATCCACTCATACTGCTATAGTCTAGATCTAAAATATCCCCCAGGGTCCACGTTCAGAGGTGGGACTTTCAATGTCTCCCAGAGTCTCTCTTATTCAAAGGTAGAATTTTAGCTTATTGGATTACATGGTGCGATACTTATCGATAATTTGTTCAGAAATTGCAAGATATCACTTATAAAACATCATTATGTGGGGTGAGATGGTACACATCTGTAATCCCAGCTACTCAGGAGGTTGAGGCAAAAAGGTCACCAAGTTGAGCCCAGTCTGAGAAGTTTATGATTCAGAAAGATCCTGTCTCAAAAAAGGGAATGCATAGGGATACAGCTCAGTGAAATGGTCCTGTGTTCAATCTCCAGGACTTCATAAAACAGCAAACAAGAAAAACATCACAAATCTCAAAAACAAAAAGATGAATGAAATTAGCCAATCACAAAAAATATCACACATTGCTTAATTCCATGTATGTGAAGTTATGGGAACAGATAAGACTAACTTTTACTGTTATAAATTAGATTCCATTTTGGATGAGCTTGACTTGGAAAGGGTAAAAAGAAATTTAGGGTTGTGGGAATATTCTATGTTTTTATTGAAGGGGTGTCTTGGTTACTTTTTAATTGCTGAAACAAAATACCTGACACCCAGAATGAAAAGTGGAAAAGTTTATGTGGCCCACAATTTGTAAAGGTTTCAGTTAATAGTTGGCTGACTCCAAGGCAAGGTGGAATGGCAGAGGGTCACTGCAGAAAAGCAATAGTCTACACAAACAGGCAAGCTAGAATAAAAGTAAGCAAGAGATCAATAACAAGCGACAATAACAACTTCTTCCTGCACCTTTTATAGTCTATCTGGGCTGCTTGTTTTAGGTGAGTGCCAAATTAATAAGTGATCACACACCCTTAATCCTAGAATTGCATTATGAATCAAGCACACAGTGTAGGTCCAGCCCCCTCTAAAAGAGCCCTGTCTATGACTGTATGAGACTTTGGTGTGGGGTGGACACCTAAACACAAGCCATAACTTCTGCCCCTACCTCCCCACAAAAGAATCATGAACATCCTTTTATACAAAGGCATTTAGTCCATCTCCAAGAGTCACTGAGGTCCTAAAATTTTCATTACTGCTGAAAAGGCCAAGTCCCAGACCTCTTCTGAGATTTAAAGAAAACCCTGATCTGCAAGCTCCTCCGCAAATGAAAAGGAAGTTAAGCACCTCCAACATTCAGTGGCATGAGAGACACACTTCCACTCCAAAAGATTGTATTCCAAAGAAAAGGCAACAAAGCAAGTCCAAAATCCAGCAGGACCAGCATCAAGTCCCATAAGCCCATATCCAGTATCCTTGTCAATCTGGGGCAAGCTGTGAACTCCAAAGGGCTTCGGTTGCCCCACCCCATTGCACTGCCAGTAGTTTTAACTCTTAAAACTTTTCACCTGGGCAGGCTCTGCTCCCTCTTCGCAGTTTTCCTTAGCTAATCCACTCTCCTGGCTTCTCCAATTTTATGGGGTTAAGCACTTTTGTTTCACTCAGAGCATGGCACACTGCTCTTTTAGAGGCACACTCCCTGGCTTCCCAGGCCTCCTTCTGGCATCTGAGTGGAAGCCTTCCTAACCCCACAACTCTTGCACCTAAAACCAGCATTGCACTGATGATGTCAAGTTGTGCCACTAGCTAGTACACAAGCTTCTTTCCTCCTTGGCTGTAGAGGTTGAGCGCTTAGGAATCAAATCCTGAGAAACAATTTCCTTAGGCTGCCACCATTCTAGAACACAGTGCCCTGGGGCTCTCTTCTAAAAGTGAAGTCTTTTGCTTTTGCAATTTTCAGGCTACAAAGGATAGGGTACTGCTGGTTCTTATGTCCTCAGGCCATCCTTTCTGTTGTCTTCTTCTGAACACTTGGCTTTTTCTTGCTAGTCTTTTCAGGTACTATTTTCTCCTCTGTTCTAACTTTGAAGCTGTAAATTTTACTGGAGCTTCATTTTTAATCATTCTGTTAGGCCCTTTAAATTTCTTCTGCAAGATTAATTAGTGTGCCATCCTCAATCTCAGTCAAATCAAAGTCTCTGGACACAAGCAAAATACAGACAAATCTTCTCACCTTTTGTGTTGTAGTGTGTTATTTGAAACAATCTTGCTATGCAGTTCAGGCTGGTCTTCGCCTCACTATCCCATTAGCCTTGAATTCTTGGCAATCCTCCTGGCTCAGTCTCCTAACTGCTGGGATTATCTTATGAGCCACAATGTCTGGCCTGCAGACAAACTTTCTGCCAAGGCACTACGCACATGTTCTGGAGCCCAGGAGTGAAAGTAATCCTTCCCAACAGAAACCTCCTGAGTCTAGCCTATTTTATCATTTAAGCATTCTGGTCTTCTGAGCTCTGACCAGAATCTCCCATCAAGTATAGCATAAAGTTTTCCAGGGCTACTTTTTCAAATGTCAGCTCTGAACTTTCCTAATCCTTCCCCTTCCCACAAGCCAATTCCAAAGTCTCCTAAACTATATGGTACAGTCACTGCAACAGCCCTATTTCTCTGGTCCCAAACTCTTATCTCAGTTACTTTCTCTGGTTGCTGAGACGAAATACCTAATACCCAAAGTTAAAGTAGGAAAAGTTTATTTTGGTTTATAGTTCGTGATGGTTTGAGTCCATAGCTGACTGGCAGGACGACATACCAGAAGGGCACTGCAAAGGACAGTTTATGATAAGCAAAGACAGAAGGTAGCAAACTGCTAGGAACCATAGCAGCTTCTATTTTTTTTTCTCCCCTTTATACCCGATATAGGCTCACTGGTTTGGGGCTGAGGGTGCTAAACCAATCAATAGACTAATTTAGTGATCAAACACCCTTAATCCTAGTGCCATGTATAAGGAATTAAACTCAGCATCACACTTTCTAGATCCAGACACCTCTGAAAAAGCCCTCTCTATGACTGCTTAAGGCTTTGGGAAGACAGTTAAATACAAGCCATAACAGGTGGTGGCTGCACAAATGTATAATTTTGCTGAAACTCATCAAACTGTGCTCTCAAAACGGGAAATTTTTATTTCTACACATTAAGCAATTTTAATAAAAGGAAGAGAGTTTTAAGGAGAGCAAGTAAACAATGTGAAACGAGATCACCGAGAATTGAAAATAATTTCTTTGAATACAAAAGAACTATTAGTGACTTTAGAAAATGCTTTAATCACTTTCAAAAATTCACTTATTGAAAAGATAACTAGAATTCAGTATGGAAGATATTTCGGTCATATTTACTACATGAGAATTCAAGTAGACAAAACATCACCTTTTCTATTTCAGTTAATGTACCTAGCATAGAAATTACGGGGAAGGGGATCTTACTACTCTACAAGTCGTAGTTTAGGAAATTTGGGGTACCACCTGAGGCTCTAATTTGTTAGCAAGGTAACAGGTGATGTCAGTACTGCTGGTTTAGCTACTGTTCATCAAGTAGGTTGGGCACAGATCACTTTTCTGGGGCACTGATAGTTTATAGCAAGTGACAGTTTGGTCCCAAAGTTTCTAGTATCTATGGAGTCCACTCTTACCATCAACTGAAAAATACTTACCTGTAGAACGATAATTTAGCCCCTTTTCTACTTATAATTGTAAGTGGACCAGGTGCTTACAATGCTGTGCACAGTAAAAGTGGCCTTATGTCAGTCAATAGCCTTGCATTGAAATCTCTGCTCTTTTTCTAATCTGAGGTGGTAACTCCATTAATTATTCTTAGGTAGCAAAATGAGAGAACAATTTTCATTTCGTCTTCTAAGCTACTGTGAAGACAGCAATAGAAAATGTAGCTGACTGAAAGTATCACACGAACCGAAACCCTTTTTAAAAAAACTTTAAAAACTCTTGAACTCCAACAAAGGGGCGGAGTTTTAAACGGTCAGAATTTGGGAGCTTTTGGAATGTACCAATTACTGGGGAGGTAGGACCCCTTAAAAATAATCTATAATAAAGAAGCTTCTGAATTTAAAGTTATACCCAAATCAATACTCATGAAATACGAATTTTTCTCTCCTTATATTATTCAACTGACATCTAATTGAAAGCGCAGCGGTAGTATTTCACTTCAGTCTCCAGATATCAAGCAGCGCCCTACTACCCACGCACTTCGCCCCCTTTCTCGCTTCCAGCCCCCGCTTTGCCTCCCACACCCCCGCTCGCCTACCCGCCCACCCCGGCCTGGGGGCAGTAGTTTCCACTACGCTGAAGAGGACGGTAGTAACGGACTCATCCATCTCTGGGCTCTTCGGGGGGAGGATGTGAGAAGCCGCGTTGCGAAGGACAGGAAGTAACCCAGCCAGGAGAAACGAGATCACAGTAAAACTCGAGTCTGGGCCGGGGCGTCCTCGCAGTAAGGATGAGGCCAGTCCACAGCGGCCGCGCGGGCACAAGCTTCGCCCTGGGCCCCTAGGTCCTCCCCGCGGGTTTCGTGGGATGGCGCCGGCCGAGGGGGCGAGGCGGACGCGCGGCTTGCAGCCTTCGCCTCGGCCGCCTGCGCCGCGGCCGGAAACAATAGTTGAGCGGCGGGAGCTTCGCGTGGAGACTGTGGTGGCGCCGGCGCTGGTGGCGGCCCGCGGAGCCGGACAGTAGAAACGCCCAGCCCTGTCCCACCCCGCCTGCGCTGTCGTCCCGCCTCTCAGAGCCTAGAGCCCCGCCGCTAGTAGCAACTGCGCGCGGGCGCCCCGACGGACGGACAGAGGGACAGCGGCAGGCAGATCCGTGGCGGTCGCAGCGGAGTCAGGCGGAGACCGACTCCCTGAGGCACCGCCGAGCGTGTGCGCACCGGCCGCTGCGCAGAGGGGAGTCTGGGGCGAGGGAACCCCCTGCAACCCGCGTCGCCATCATCTGGAGCGCGGCGTCTGGGCTTCCGCGTGCCTTTGCGGTCTCGCGTTCTCTCCCCGGCCTCAGACCTGCGCTGGAAAGCGCACGCCGCAAAGGGAGTGAGGCGCTTCTGAGGTTCCCTCACGGAATTTAGCGAGGCGGCGTCGAACAGGTCGGTTTTTCTGCTTTTAACTGTGTTAAGTGGGTTGACAGTCCGGCGAGTGGGGCGCGGGCCACCGAAGCCCTAGCAAGTCTCTTTCCTTCAGATCTTCTCTGTCTAGTGAAATAATCAGGGGACGCTGGGGTACAGGGTGACCTGCAGCTGTACTTTTCACAAGCTTTGTGGTTTTCCACGATGAAAGCTTGGTGTTGAACCGCCGGAGTACAGCGATGCTTGTTTGATGGGCTACAGCGAACATCAGTTTTCCTGATTCTTAGAAGTTCCCGGTGTCGCATGCCGAGATGGCACGTTACCAAAATTGTGTAACTTTTCTGTTTTTTAATAGGGGCACTATGAACGAAGAGGAGCATTTTGTCAATATCGATTTGAATGACGACAACATTTGCAGTGTCTGTAAACTGGGAACAGACAAAGAAACACTCTCCTTCTGTCACATTTGTTTTGAGCTAAATATTGAGGGTAAGGACGCAGCGTAGTTTCAATTTCATGACGTGACTTTGTAGCGCTACTTCAAGCGGATACGGTTATAAAATAGTGATATGGTTATCGAATTGAATTTCTTTAAGTTTGAAAACTGCTAAGTGAAGTATGGATGGAGGTCTATTAAAGATAAGTGTTTCTGGAAATGAAGATGGAGTTAACTCAGTAATGAGTTAAGAGGATTTAAGAGAATTAAATAATTATTTAAATACCCACAATAATGACCCTGTTTTTGTTAATATAAAAAGGAGGTGTTAATATTGCCTGGTAGTCGAGTTTCCTGCTTGAGACCTAGGTTGTCAGATTCCAGCCGGCTTATGTGTGTTAACAAACAACAATTTATATTGATGGGTAAATGTAACTTTATGCCTTTGGGCCTGCAATACTAGTACCTGAGATGACCCTGAAGTCTTCTCTTATCTATTGTTCCCATCATCTGAAAAATGTTCCTAAAATTTTATATACACTTTTAATTGATCATAAACACCTGTAGGAATTTTTATAACAAAAAGATTCTTTAAAATTTGTATTACATGAAAGTACATGAAAATACATGAAAAAAAGTACCCCAAAGATTTAAAAAAAAAAAAAAAAAAAACCTTATTGAAGATATTCAGGTTGGTGGAAAGTTAATGTGTCTGTCAGGTTAGTTTGCTTCCAAGAAATGTGTGGGATATTTTTCCTTAATCTTGATGTTGTCTTATTAAAACTGATTCTTTTTAGATACTTATGAGTCACAGGAAGAGACTTACTATTCTTGATAACATTAAGTTTGCCTGTATTTTGAACTTGGAGTTTTACCAGTAGAGAGACTGTTAGATCTTCAGATTTGGATAGTTTTTTTAATTTTCTCTTTTTACTAAACAATATATTTTTGAAAATTTTAATTATCTTTTTTATTATAAGATATGATCTTAGAGTGTGCACACTCACATTACAGTGATACATCTTGAAATTCCTGTTAGGGCTTGTTATTCAGAAATGTAGTTGTCACCCCTTATGTGATTGAATACTGTGGGTTTCTTTGGAAGTATATAAAATACTTATCACTTTGGCTTTAACGAGTGTAGTATTTAAACTAACTTCAAAAGAGTGACTTAAAGATGTGATTTTTCTGGGCTATTTAAATTACCATGATTAAATAATCATGCTAGAGTGAAAGATGTAAATTTATTTTCTTCAGAAATAGAGTTGGCCCTGAACATTGTAATAGGTGTAGTTTTACATTTAGATGGGCAAGGACATTAGAAATTGTGCAATACAGACTTTGTATTTTACATGTAAGTAAACAGAGGCCAGAGAGTTGGAGGGCTCAAGGTTGCGGCAGTGGTGATGGGAAGCTGTTTTTATGTGCTAGGCATTGTACTAAGCACCTTACATGGATTATCTTATTTAACTCAAAATAGCTCTGGTATGACTGCTACTGTTACTCACTTTATATGCCATGGATCTGAACCTTAGAGACCTAAGAAATGCACTTTGAAATTATACCACTGGTCATTGACTATCCTGTGCTTGCCTCCTGGCCATATGATTGTAGTGTGTGTGGTCTTAAATCCACTGATCTACTGACAGTAGTTATTTTAATTGTACAGCTGATTAAAAACCCCTATATTCCTGCTTCCAAATTGATTCTTTCCTATTTATTTATGCAACTTTTCCTAACCACTGCTTCCTGCTAAATCATCATTAGTGGGGTTCATGTTATAAAAACCTAAACTTTCATAATTAATTTTTATAGTAACCTTTTAAAATATGTGTTTTAACTAGTTCTTAATCATTATATAAAGAATGTACAGATGTTCCTCTGGTAACATCTTTGTAAACACTTCAGCTCTTGATACTGAAGCATCACAAAACATCCTTTGTTTTTGAAATAACAGGGTAGTGGTCTCTCAAAAGGCAGGAGCAGTTCTCAGTTTGAATAATTCTCAATTCAAATTAGAACTATTTCATTTAATATTCTACATATATCCTAGGTTTTAAATATTTAAATACCAGTTTAACTTTTGTGAGAAATATTAGAGCTAAAAATTTTCTTTTCAGTTTATCTGGTGTCCATTCTCAGCTTTCACAAATACATATTTACATTTTTCCTACAGTGATAAGCTAGTACATTATAACTATTTTGGTTCATATTATAAGATTATTGTAGGAAAACAGAAGGAAAAGGAGTGTCTTTATTTCTACAAAATTATTTTATATCTGTACTGATTTTTAAAAACAGAAAAAAAGTCACAATTATAAGACCATTTTAAGTATTTTTGAAATTTTCTTTCCAGTACCAAGTTCTCAGCACAGTGTCAGTAAACTGGAATGTAAGAGGAACGTCTAAAAAATGGTATTAACTCTACTAGCTTGGTATAATTTTCCTTGTGATATGATACCATTACTGTTGTCTGGTTTCAGAGCTTCCTAGTTGCTAAATTTACCCCAGACTATTCTGTTTTTATTTTGTAAAGAGGCTCAGTAAAAATAAATTCTCTTGAGGAATAATAACATTTATGCTAATTTTGAGTCCACACATTTGTAATAAATCAAGTAATATTTTATACATTTTGGATTATTTATATCAAATGAACATTGATCTCATTAACTAGCCTCTTGTTTAAGAACTGTGTGCATTCATATGTTTGTAAAACAAAGACAAAGGAAAACAAACTGACAAAAGACAGCCTGAGCTTGTTAGAGAGATTCTGTATTCTGAACATTGCTCAGAATTCTTCTTTCTGTGAATTCACAATAGTTAAAAGGAAAGGGATACCTAACTTTTGTATTCTGCTGAGCCATCAGTGACACACTTTTAAGTACTAAGAAGTGGACTTTAAAGAACTCCAATCTTTTTATCTATTCTCCAAGGTTGACTTTTAAACTTACAGGTCACCATTAAAATAATGGGTATACTCCTAGGATTAGGAGACAGATGCATAACCTTTGCAATAGCTGTGGCATTAAGACACTATAACTTTTTCATACGGGTTAATGACCAAGTGCTCTAGTATATCTAGCGGCTGTATGTAGTCAGTTTTGGACTTCATTTTCCTTTAATTTGTTCTTCTTTTCAGGGAGCAGAATAATATTCAGCTCCTTTGTAAATCTTTACATCAAGAAAAATCTGTAGCTATTTTCTCTTAGTTAAGGCACAGGTGAGTTCTTACTCTTTCTTGGTTCTTGTGTTTTTTTTACTATATAACACTGTTCATAATGAATAGCCCGGGACCGTTTGAAAATAAGTGTTAAATCCTTGATTTAAGGATTTACTATTTAAGGTCTATCCTCTTTCCTGTGTCCTGCTGCTGACACAAGATCTTTCTAATGATGTAAGTAAAGGGGTCCCCACTTGTGAAGTTTGTAAGAAGCAAACTCAGTCTGACATTACCCTTTTTCTTGTTTTCCATCCCATAATAACATCATTATGTACTAATAGTAACTAAAAGTAGCATCTTGTAAGTATAGAGCATAACACTATATTTGAAACTCCCAAGATTAAATTTTTGCCCTAGGTGCCTTTTATTGTCATTTTAAATAAATATACTTTTAAAATGGCTCTACTGGTAAAACTTTATTATTAGGATGGAGGGACAGGAGGGTTCTTCAAATATTTCCCTTTCAGTCTGGGTATTGTTCATGAAGTCTTTGCCAACTCCTATGTCTTCAAGATTTCTTAACTGTTTTTTGTTCCAGATTCAGTGTTTCTATTTTAGTATTTAGATCTTTGATCCATTTTGACTTTAGTTTCCTGCTTGGTAATAGACATGGGTCCAGTGTTTTTCAGCATGTGGAAAGCCAGTTTTCCAGCACTGTTTATTAAAGAGATTGTCTTTCTTTCAATGAACTTGTTTGGCTCTTTTGTCAGTGATAAGGTTGGCTGAGTATGTTTGGGGATACATCTGCATATTCTGCTCTATTCCACCGATCCTCAGGCCTTGCTGATGATTACAGTAGCTTTGTAGTATAATTTTAGGTCTGGGATTGTGGTGCCCCTTGAATTGCCTTTGTTTGCCCAGAATTGCTTTTGTGATTCTAGGTATCTTCTGGTTCCAAATGAATTTTAGAAATATTTTCTTTGCATCTGTGAGGTAAAAATCAATAGATTTCACCATATTAAAAAGTTTTTGCATAACAAAAGAGTGAAAAGACATCCCACAGAATGGGAAAAAGTAGCAGCCAATTGTCCCTCAGACAGATGGCTTATATCTAGAATTGAAAAATCTCAGACCCCCCCCCCCAAATACAAAGACACAAATGACAAATACGTGAAAAAATGTTCAACACTATTGGTCACTCAAGAGATGCAAATTAAAATAACACTGAGATTTTATCTTACCCCAGAATGAATGGCTGTCATCAAAAACTCAACCTATAGCAAATGGTGGAGCTGTGGGGAAGAAGGAACCCTTCTCCACTGTTGTGGGTGTGTACACTGGTACAACCACTGTGGAAATCAGTGTGGAGATTACTTAAAATACTAGGATTAGAGGTTCCATTTGACCCAGCTATTCCCTTATAGCTATCTTCCTAGAGGAATTAAAAACATCATACCACAGCAATATATGTGGTAAGATCGAGTCTCAGTACAAAAAAATAAATAATAACTAAATCTTAGAAACAACCCACGTGTCTGTCAACCAAGGAATGGATAATTGTATTGTCTCACAAGAATGAAAAACTGAATAAGTAAATGGGATCAAAATTGTATAATAGATACTGTGAGTTGGGACAAACTATGACGGGGGAGGGGGAAAGGAAGAAAGGGGAAAAAATACATTTATACATGAGATGTTAAGATAGTTGCACAGGTATTTCTCTTAGTTCATTGAAGAGATTTGTGCTAATACTGTTTGTACAAGATACCACACCTATGTTTTATACTCTGAATAACTACTATGATGAGAGCTATATAGTGTATTATAACTCCTGCTAACCTGTTTTGAAACTTTTATTGTTACTTGTATATTTTTATCTTTAAAATAAAAAAA